TAAATAAAGAAAATAATAAAGAGTATGGACATAAAACTGACCAATCTAAATACTCTAGCGAAAGAATAAAAGAAGGATATAGAGTAGGTAGAGCGAAAAATAAAAACATTTAATAGAAATAAGAGTTAAGTATATTGTGTGTGCACAAGAAAATTTGTTTAAGAATTTCAAAAGAAGTGCGTAAGACGCACCCATAAGATAGGATTCATTGGATGTGCGTATGCATGAGCTGATGTACGAATGTAGATGTAGACGAAAATGAGTGGAAAGATAGTAAAAGAGACGAGGGGGGGCGGGAAGAAGTAGATGGAGCTTGGGAAGCGTCGCTCCCAATATAATGCAGCAGGTAGGCTTGTTAGCGAGCAGGTAGATAGAAAGGAGGCTTATTGGGGGTAGCCATATAATATTGAGTGTGTCACTGTAGTCGTCGGAGTAGTTCCATCTGCGAAAATATCTATTGGGTGTCGTTTCTTGAAAATGAGTCTTCTTAACTGTGAGTTTCGTGTGTTTATGAATAGTGAAGAATCAAAAGAAATTAATGTTGAGATGAGTTATTTTTGCCTGTGTCACTAATTAGCCCTATTTTTCTTTTGTAATCTTTTAAAAACATTTATTCACGAAAAATGTACCCATTCTCGGTAGTGCAAAAAGCTGTAAATAATTAATCGAAAAGAACATGAAAGTTCATCTTTTTTAACTTACAAAGACAACTTGAAAATATATTTAGTCTTCCGAAATTAAGCAATGAAGACTTTAAAATTAGTAGCATACAGAAAAGGAGTCGTGACGATTCAATAAAGCATGATGTAGTTGTAAAAAGATAGGAAAATAAGTGCTGCACATATTTAAGTACCTGAGAAAATAATAAAAGTAATGTCTAGAATAAATTTTAACTTCACATTTATTTTCGATCTTTTATTTATTGCTCCATTTTCTTTCATTTCATTCTATTTAGATTTAATCGTTACTCACCTTAGTATATCTAGGTGCCCACACGTGCCAACTCGACAATTACTTTACACAAGATAACAATGCTCTCCCAATACTTATCCTTTTTGTCTTACCATTGCCATCTTTCGTTCAGATTCACGCATTCGCATTTTACTTAATAATACCTTTGAAGTTTTTCGAAGCTTCGTTACCTACATGACGAAACAGCTCCCTTCTTTTTCTTTCATTCTCACACTTTCAATCACCCATTCTTTCGCACATTTATATAAAATTACAAGTAGTTGTTATACCTACAATTTTGCAAAATAATTTTATAATTCAGTTTTTAAAGAGTTTGTCATTTAAAAAAATCTGTACATTTATGAAACGATGTTGGATGCTAACACTTTATTAAATTTATTCACAGCGATTAATTGAAAAAAAAGTTAATAAAAATTAAATAATGAAATACTAATAATTAAAAAGACAAATGACTAAAAAATTGATTTGTATAGGATTCTACTTATTAAATTGTCAGAAGACTTAAAAAGTTATTACTTTATGAGAATATAACAATTTTTAAAATTTTTTAAATTTTTCGTTATGTTAAAATAATTTAATCACAAAATATTAAACATGATATTATATCCAAGGTAAAACCACATCGATTTGTATTAATATGATTTTTACAAATAGTGATGTAAAACAGGTGTTTATATTCGTGTTTGGTATTTATAAGTAGTTTTTCAAAGACTCACGCAATCTGACGAAGCTATGTAAAAATATCGCAAGAATTTTGCGACAAAAAAGAAACAAGAGTAACTGAGTGAGTATTATTTGTTAAATTCTTTGTATCATAATCTCCTCGGAAATCTCTGAATAATGTATTTGTTTATTTAAATTTTTCTTTTTTAGCGTATAGTCTTTTCTTTTAATAAACCCATTTTTGTGTGAAACTCTTATCGATTTACATGTGTAAATCTTTGCACAAAATATCATTATTTTCCTCAACTGTAAATTGTAAAAAAATGTTATTATATATAATAATATGTTAATTCTATAAATGAAAGTTTATTTTATTCATAAGATGATTTTGCAATTTTTATTTACAGTACTAATCCATTAATTTTTAATTATATTTCATTAGTTTTAATAACATAAAAATGAATATAAGAAATATTAGATAGGGAATGATTCTTTTTTTCCTAATTAATGAAGCAAACTAGTAAAAAAGGGGCTATATTTGGTTTTCGTAACAAGTCTTATAATACTAAGGATTGAACGGAAAATACGTACACAAATTAACTACTACTCACGATAATCTTGCTGAAAATGAAATCTCATTTGAAATATGGAATGGTCTCTATTGTTCCCGATATCGTTCATACGTACATATAAATGTATATATATATATATATATATATATATATATATATATATATGTATATATATATGTATATATATATATATACTACATACACATTTACAGAAAAGAAACAAAAAAGGGTAGATCGAAAGAGTGAGAAAAAGAGAGAAGAAAATAAGAGGGGCAGAGTAAGCATGAATCTGTCTGCTTTGCATTTCCTGCCATTATATGCCAGAGCATCGTTAGTGAATTCTCCCGCCTCTCGCGAGGTGCCGCACGCAATGTTGCCAAATTACGACTGGCAACTTTCGCCTTACTCATTCCCTTTCTCTCAACTTCTAAGATCTTTTTAATGTTCATATATTTTTCCTTTTAACCGCTGTACTCTCATCTTACCATTTCTTGACTCTCTTGAAATAAGTTATGGTAGTTGAAAACATATTTCTAATAAATAAATAGTCTCAAATTACTGACTCGTATCTACCTAATTCTATTTTGACTCAATAATATTTTATTTGAAAACATAAATGATACTATTGCATAGTAAAAACATACAAAATTTAATTATAAATAATTGAATTTAGATTATTTAAACAAACTTTTTACGAAAAATTATTTTGTATACTGATGAATTTTATAATTCTTTTCATAATTGCAAGTAAAAGAAAGAATGTAGAAAATATCCAAAACAATCTTGTATCGCTGCTGTAACTTCTTATATAAACGGATGCAATGATCTTATTATGAAATTTGATTACTTGCTATCATATAACACAAAAATCACAGGTGCTTTCAATATATTTTTTTATTATAAATTCTTTTAAAAATGAAATTAATTGTTTCTGTATCATAAAAACATAAAGATCATTTAATGAATTAAAAATTTAGATAGAAATTTCACTTCAATTTTCTCATTAGTTATTTTATATAGATTGTTTATACCTATATTCAGCACACCATACATTTATTTATTTATGATGACCAACCCCTACAGAACAGACAATAAAAGGCGATTACTGTCAGTCGATTGACTTCCATAAAGACATAGTCTAGTATATTATCGCCCACTTTGCTTTAAATCTCCCTTACCCTCCTGCACTAACTCGCACTCACTATTCACTAATCGCAATTCGCGCGGTCAATTCTAATAATAAATAATTACATGGCACTTCTTTGTAGCTTTAATGATATAGTAACCATAAGTCATCGTACGATGGAAGTATAGGATGCCGTTGCAGAATGAGTTACTTCTCTTAAGAACATTTTGTTTTTGCACATGGATATGTTCTTTTTATAAACTCAATCGGTAAATATTTGATGTTAATAATCGAAATTCATATTTAATTGAAATATTCAAATGTATGTATATACATTTTTGTAAATATGTCATGTTAAAACAAAACAAACAAAAATAAAGGCATGACAGAAGATTAAATAATAAAGACTTGGAATTTTACAAATTTTTCACGATCAAATGCAAAAAAGAAAAAATTCGATTAAAATTAAAATTAAAATTTTAATTACATTGTACCTGTTTATTACTGATTAATGTTATTTTCCAAGTTAATTATAATTATTTAAAAACTTGTAAAGATAATGTTGAGGTGTAAAGTGACAAGAATAAGAAGATTGTATGAATTTATTGTACTTTTGTGTAATAAACTATCAATACGATAAAATGACGATTGGTTGACACAGCGGCATTGATATTTCCAACACCCTGTTCTTGGCACGAAACGAGGTATCGATTTTTAAGCAATTTTGAAAGACACCTTACTTTCGTAGTATCTCAAAATTAAATTTTAATGTACCTAGAATTTCGAATATTTAATTAAATTTAACTTGTTTTTCACGTTGTCACCTGATCTGTTTCCTTACATCTTCATAACGTTAAAATAATACGGAAAATAATTAACATAGATAAATAATAATAAAAATTTGTTTATATAAATATAATTTATTTAATCTAATAAATACTGGAAAAAGTGAGGTTAGAATAATAAGAATAGAACAAGCATGTAGTTTAAATCAAATAGATGCATAATGAAGCTTTTTTAAAGTTATTCTTATTTATCCGAGTAAATATAATCGAGAAATAAACATAAAAATACAAGTATGGTTACCGAGCAAAAATATATCATGTTTTGCAGTTTTCTTTCAGTGGTTATATGTTTATGATCATGGTGTTATTTTATCATTCGCAGTTTTACTAGTCGCATATACTTTTATGTCCTTCTTTCTCTCTTGTTAGCATGAGAAAAATGAGATAGCTACGCACACTCTCGGTCATGCCAGTCACGTTATCGCTTTGGAAACAACGCTGTTCACCACTGTTGCCATTCGATTCTGAATTTCTATTAGTTTTCTAATTTGGCATTAGCAAAATCGTCTTAGTACTACTTGCCACTGTCATATTTATCTTCATCTCAACTACTTTTTGATTAGAAACATTTTAAATTCGATGCCCTCCTCACACCAAATTATTGGATATGTTTTATCAACCTTGTTAACACTCATTGGAATGCATTTCTTTTGCGTTGTACATTTATTATATATACAAATAAAAATAGAGATAAACAAATATATTATATTTCTTTTTTAACTTATATTGAAGATTGAAATATTTACTTGATATATATTTCGTTTACGCTTATTCCCTTAAACTTTATCAAAACTTTAAATAAAATGAAAATGGAAAACTCACCAAATACCGGGCTCAGATCGGATCTAGTCTTCACCGTCGCATAGCTTCCACCGGCTAGGGATACCTTCTCCTGTAACACACATACGCACACGTCGTATCACTTCCACAGAAAAAGGAAACTGGACTGGATAAGATAATGTCGATGGATAACTTTAATAATTTACAAAAAAATAAGAAAAATAAAGATACTCGAGCTTCCTTCTGGTCTTTGCAGTTTAATAATGTAAATCTGGGTTAATCACAATAGAAATTTTAAATGTTACCGCCTAGATGATAAATGATCATAGATAAGGTGAATCTCGATTCGGGTAGTATTTTGAGACGATTTTTGAAAGATTTATGCTGATACGTGCATTTACTCTTAGGGATATTATTATGACACGTATAATTGCATTTGTGACGTAGAATTCACGAAGATGAGACCAGTGCGCGGGAGATTGGATTTAAAATCAGAATCCAGAGTAAGCCGAGCACCGGCTTCATCTTCGCTGGAGCGTGGACACGTGCGAACTGGTCCCAAGGACCAGTGTGAAGCTCGAGCGCTCCCGTGCATTCTTAGATTGTACATCCATGTCTCTGATGAAGGATACAAAAGGCTAGGAAAACCAGAGAAAGGAAAAGAAATGGACTTGAGAGATGAAGTTAGGAGTCTTCTGCAAAGCACCTCCGAGTCCGTGAGATCGATGAGAGACTTTTTGACCTCGTGGAGGTTCTCCGAAGATCTCTCCTCGTCCTCGCCTTCATCTTTAAAGACCTTGACCTCGTCCTCGCTGCCCTGGTCATCGCCACCTCCGCTGCTGCTGACGTGCGGCATCGTGTCCCTTGTCCCTTATCGCGAACGGCACTCGCGACACTCACGGCACTACTCGTTCGGCGAAAAACAACACACTTTTCCTGTGGCGACTGGCGCTGCTGGCGCCACTGAAGTTGCTGTGTTGCTGACGCTGTTCGTACGTTTCTCTTCAGTGCGCCCCAATGGGCCTACGGACCAGCGTTCTTGTTGACGTCGTCTTCGTCCGGAGGCTCGCTCCCTCGGGCGCCGCTGCCGGCGCGTCTCCGACGGATCCTGTTGCAACCGAGGTCGCATGACTGGAAGCCACGAGCGCGCGATCGGCCATGATCGCGCGCAGTTCGGCCCTGACCACTTCCTTCGCCCTCGGGCGGCGCCGGCGTCGAATGGTCAGGGGCGCGCGGAGCGCGTGGGCGAGGGGCCGAAGGAGGTGCGAGGGGGCCGCGTCAGGCAACAGAAGATTACACGACACACTCTCCGTGGTATGGCTCAATGCGGACTGCCGGCCGCCGGCGTCGGACTCGTTCGGTTTGACTGCGTTGGGACATTCGGTAGAGCGCCAACGCGCAGCGGGCGACTCTCCCACGCACGAACCAATCACGAACGCGGATACACGACCGCTCTCTTCGCTACCGACAACGGCGCCGCCGCCGGGAGTCATGCTAGACAGCGAAGAGGGCGCCGAGAAGCGTCTGCGAGACGTCCTCAGAAGGCTTTTGAAAGCTTGTTGTTCATTGTTCGCTAGTTAAAATCCCTGTCCTTTACTTTACCATCTTTTTATTTTTCATTTATTATTTAAATGCATTAAAATCTTTTTTACTACTGCTTTAACATCGCTTTTGTAAGCATCTATTTATGGATATATATATATTTGGTTACTATTTTTGCAAATCTTAAATCTTAAAATTGTACAAAAAGTACATATATATTACATTTTAATATTTTTATCAATTTTTTCAAATATATAGTTAAATATGGTAATAAATATTATAAGGTAGTACATATATTTATATTTATAATTAAGTAACATTAAAACTGTTACAAAATATGTACAATAGATGTCAAAATTGATTAGTAAAAAATAAAACACAAATTATTATTACCTCTAATGAAAGTTCATTGTTAATAATGAATAGTATTTGAACAAAATTTATATTCCTCTTACAATATATGAATTTAATTTTTTTCAGATTGAAATTTTAGCATGAAATTAAATTTAAAAAATTATTCTTAAGTTAATTTCATCTTTGCCATATTAAGTTGTAAAAAATTATAATATATTATTTTATTAACTTTTGCGTTGTACTTTGAATCATTGTGTTACACATTCTTATAAAACTTAAATATATTAATATTATTATGTCATCTATTGTAATTCAATTTTCAAAATTTTTAAGTTTCTATATACTGCTTTCTAAGGGAGATAAAAAAGATATTCCAAAAATGGCGTCAGTTATAAACGAATGGAACTGGAGCAACTTTGCTTCACAAAATAAAGAAAATTAGAAATTGAATGTATAATCAGTATTAAAGTAATTGAATATAACCCAGATATTATTTAACTTAATGCTGTATATCGGCTTGACGAAATGACGAAAGCACAACGATGGAACAACCAACATTATTACTTGTGTGTATTGTACATAAATTTTCTCGATCACAACGAAAAAAAACATTGGATCATAATAAAAATCCCAATATCAAATTCATGAATCCATAATCTATTTATGACGTGTACTCTCCTTCATACTGCTACAATACAAACTGACCCACCTGGGGTCGTAAGGTGAAGGGAACAAACATTAGAAATTTAATCAATTTACTCAAGGCAAAGAAGTCAAATAATGTAAACATTAACTTTTTAAAAGTAATTGACTGGTAGCTTCGTTCCAAATCAGAATCAATGTTTTTGATAAATATTTACCCACTTATACTATAAAAAATAATAAAGAACTAATTAAAAAGTTTAAGAAAATTCCTGATGAGAAAAATATTCTCAGTTATGTAAAAATAACTTAATAACTGATGATTAAACAACTTTTTAAATTATTTGATTAGTAATTAACTCTTGTTAAATCACATAAAATTGTATTAAATATAAAAAAGTATTTCCCAAGCAATGTGACAATATTATTGGTGTCACCCTTAAACTAAATAAAAAGGATTATAAATCAACAAATTATAAGAGAAAGGTTGCATTTTAACTAAAGTACCAGATTTTTAAGGTAAATGCCAAATTGGGTAAGTAACATGAATTTTAAATATTATTTAGAAATCTATTCTCATTTTATGAAAGTGGAGAAATTTGCATAAAATTATAAATTATTTGAAATCCTTTATTTATTTCTATTAAAAAATGAATATAGAGAAAATCTTTTTAGATTATTTTTAATATTAATTAATTTTTTAAATATAAAGAACAATACATATTTTAAAAACAGAGAATTTAATATGTTTATACCATAATCAATAATTTATGCACAAAATACAAACATAAACAAAGTGCCGTTACATGAATATAAATATTATATGGTAATGACATAATTATACAGAAATAATAAAATTGAAATATAAATAAATAAACTATTAATAAATATTATTCAATATTACAAATGTTTATAAAATATATTTTTGTAAATTGGGTAGTATAAGAAAAAATAATTACATTTCGACAAATTTTAAATTTGTGATATTTAGAATAAGCAATAGAAACCAACTATATAATGTAGCTGTAGAAGACATTTTTATCACAAATTTTGAAAATATTGGAAGAATGATGAACTTCATATATAAGCTGATAACAAATAAAAAAATTTTAAATATTAGTTTTCTATCTGTTTTCACCAAATTAAAATAAAATATCAATTAATAAGATAAAGAATAATTATTAATTATTATAGTTTCTTAATCTAAAAATCTAATTGCAATATTTTCAATGCTGTCCACACTTACTAATTAATATTAATATTAAATTGAAATTAAATGTACATTTAATTCCGTTGTATTTTGAATATAAGATATTATATCAAACTATATAAATAAATACTATTATATTCAAGCTATTAAATATAAAAAATATATTTTTATAATTATTAAATATTAAATTATATTCTGCAAATATTATATTCTAGAATTTCTACAGAAATATTTAAAAAATTCCTTTTCAAACATTTTATGTAATTTTATTGTAAATTAAATTATGTAGAATTAAACAATAAGATAATATAAATACTAAAATTTAATCGATTTATGAACTTTAACTAATGTCCAACTAATTAAACGCTTAAATGTTAAAAAATAACGAATTAAATTACGAGTTAAAAAAACTGACAGTTTCTTCTTAATTGAAAAAACATGCAAAAATTATTATGGTAAAAAAATTAAATCTACAAAATATAAGGCAGGAAACAAAGTATATCTAAATGTCAACAATTTTTTAAACATTAAAGAAATTGTTTTCTTATTATTCGAGGATTTTAATAAAAAACTTTATTTGAAGATAAATAAAAATAGTATAAAATGTATAAAAATAGGAATAAAAACAGTGTATAAAATAATATAAATAATCATTTTATTGTTTATTAAGTATTTTTACCAAATTATTGTAAAATAATAAATTTAAGCATATGCTAGAAGTTTATATAATTTTATATATAAGTTTATATATATATTTTAGTTATAATTATATATAATTTAATATTTTTATAAAAATTGGATTATTGTAATATATACAAAAATAAGGCGCAAGATTATATAAAAATTTGGAAGAAAAATATTGGCAAAAATAAATATATTTTAATCCATCTAACAATAAATCATGTTACTATTTTATAAAATTAATGTTTAAATTAATTCTAACTTAATTATTGTAGCTAATGAAAATATTAAGGTTATGCTTTGCAAATTATCAGAAAGCATAGATAATATTAATTATTAAAAAAGTATATTAAAAAGAAATTGTAAATCTTATACTTTAAAATCGGTATATAAAAAGCTAATCTATAAATAAGAATAAATTAAATATCTTTGTTTATAATTTTATACAATTGCAAAATTACAATTAATTACTATTAAAATTATAATATCTTTTAAGAAACAAGCTATGAATCTAATAATTTTATTTTCAGATATAACATTTCTAATTAAATATTTTTATTTTCTATCTGAATAGTATATTCTACTATTCCAATAAACCATTATTAAATTTTTCTATCATTTAATTATATTAAATTATGCCAACTATGTATATGTATATAAATAATGGTTTAAAATTTTGTATTATTAAACAGTAGTAAAAAAATATTTAATGTTTGATATATGTTGAATCAAGCAATAAAATTAAACTAATGTATAAAAATTTTCTGAAGAAGTAATTGATAAATATTTTTTTATATCATTTTATTTTGAAGAATATATATTTCATATAATGAATTCATTTTTCTGTAAATACAGTCATAAAGTATTTAAATTGATAAATTGATTATTTAAATTATTTTAAATGATCATCAAATATACGCAGTTTATCAATTTTTTTAAATTAAAATATATATTATTAATAAATCTTTTATTTTATGTTAATGTGTTACTAAAAAATTGTATAGTATTGTTGATACTTAAAACAATTTTGTAGTGCTATACAAAGTTTTTTGTTTAAACATTTTCTATATGTTGGTTAAGAGTGTTATATATTCTGTTTAATATTTAATACTTCAAACATTTTTAATATTTTTTTAGAAATTTTACACGATAAAAAAAGTTTAAAAAAAGTTTAATCATAACATGTGAATTACAGTTACTTAATTAAAATATAAATATCTAAAACTAGATAATAAAAATGTCAAAGTTTAATCCAATATTACATAATTCAAACTTTAGCATAAAGAATTTTGCGATACCTAGTTTTTCGGATTGGTTTGTATTAAATTAACCTTGTTTACATTTATTTTTCTTGTAAATATGTGCAAATTATTATTATTGTAATGACAAGATTTATTATATTTTATTCAATAATTTTAGATAAAAAAATTAGGAAATATTCTTTTAATACCCTAATAATTATAGATTATATATATATATATATATATTATATTATATAATATAAAGATAGATAGATCTATATTATATATATTATCTATATTAATCTATTATAATCTATTATATATTATCTATAATATATTAGCACATGCATTCATGAATGAAACAAATGAAGCTTAAATAAAGCCTATCGTTTAAATTGTTTATTTAAATATAAAATATAATTAAATTTTATATACAATTTAATTTGATTTATGTTTAAAATATATTAAAATAAACCATTTTATGGATATTTTGTTAAGCTGCATTTGAAAATCTTTAATTATAATGTTATAATATTATTTGAATATTTTTCTTTTTTTTAAAAGATGAAATGTTCAAATGATTATAAAAAATTTGAATTGAAACATTAACTTTTCACGTTTTGGTTCTAATTTTTAATTCATATATT